GATGAACAAGTGATATTTTATTTGTAGGCGCTACTCTTATGAAAAAAGAAAAGAAATCCGTGCGAGAAGTGGGACTATGCGGTACACCACGTTACTGTTCTGATCTGTCTGCCTGGTGCATAATATCGTAGCGTTTCCTTTTGCATAGATTTCCTGTCACTTGTTTCACTCGAAAACTGTCCACACTACTCGAAGGGAGTTTTTTTCTATCTTCTGTTCTGCGTTTGCTGCTTTCTTCCAAAAACTCGATTTCAAAAAACACAGATTGAGACCTTAGAATATGGAATATCCACTCAGAAAATCAGAATTCTCCGCAACTACCATTCGTTGCCTTTTACGAAGGTCTTGGAACTGTCAAAGCGGCTACGAAACTGTTATGCTGTGTCATAGAAAACACCCGCTCGGAAGTACTTCGCCGGGCTTAAGAAGTGTGGAGGTTCGCTGAGGACCCGCGAAAACAAAACATGACCCAAATCAAGCCTTGCAATAAGAAGGACGCAACCGCGAAGGAGTTACACTATAGTTACACCCTATGCACGCAGGCCGCGCACCACTCCTGGCATAGAACACATTACGAGCGCGTTATCTTTCAGGGAGAGCGGTATGAATTTAATTTCTGGGGGTGAATAACGCTGAGGGGTGTCTTAAGTCTTCCTGTGATTTGCGAAAAAAGCAAGCTCATCAGTACCCAGATTCGACCTCTGCCAGAGATAAATACCTGTTTCTCCCTATCTACTGCGCACACATGGACTTGAGAACCAAATGTAGAGCCTTGTAAAGATGGATTTACGATTAATGCATACTAGTGCATCAAAACATTTGGCCGCAAGCTATTAACATATGAGTTGTGCATGAAGGTGATAGTAAATAATAGTGAATGAGGATAGAACGTCATTATTCTGTACACTTACGGGGACTGATAGCATGTGACGAAGTAAAAACGCCACATCTTATGCGGCTCCGACCAAAAATTGTTGCTGGATGAAATGGTCGAGGCTAATATGATGATTTATTTAGAAATAAAGGATAAAAGGATAAAGCATTTGCCGTTGATCAATCCCGTTTTTGGGATGCGGCACGCATTCTACTTCCATTTGTACATTCGCAGTGGCATTTGAATGCGATGTGGCCTATACAATGACTTGCGGGGGCCAGATGTTCATGTCATTTTTTTTAGTTCAGTGTTTGGGTTTTTTTTATCTATCAACGTCCAGGAATATCGATTCGGGTTTTGGGTACCAATCAATCCGATCCGCCGGAGGGGATGGAGGAAGGCATCCAGCGGGGTTAGCAACGACGGAACAGGATTTCAAATCATTGCAGATCTCTTGGTTATGATCAGCGTGTAGGGCGGAGTCATCGGACCCTGAACGCTTCCAAAATTCAGCTGACTTTAAGGTGAGTAACGACAGACGACAAAAGGAGTAAGGCCAGCAAATCAATAGTGGCGTCGTCCTGTAAGAAGATGCTTCTCTTTGAAGCTAACATGAGATGAGGGCGGAGGAGATATGGTGACTGGCAAAAGTTCAACTTATGAGAGGAGCGGGAGATGATAGGAGGTGGCAGAATATAACCGCGTGTCTGTCGTCCTCTAGGCAACCGTCGTGCTGCTTGAGCCTGGGCGATTTAGATTTGAGAATTGGGTTCAGTTCATAGCGAAAAGCCACAGCGAGGGGCTTCTTGGGGCACTTGAGCAAACTAGGTTAGCGGGTTCTCAACCACACAAACTTACGGCTGTTGCCGTAGGATTCAAAATAAGCGTCGCTGTTGTGAGGGAAAACGGCGGGATCACCAGATCAGTCGTGCACTCATCACATGTACTGCCGATGGGTCAACGGTATGGAGCCTTACATGGCGTCAGGTGCGAATCAGATTGCAGCACCAGTGATGTGATTATATATCGGCGATAGTCGGGTGGGTATTGGTCGTCGACCGGCCCCGCCGCGCGCCGGCCTAAGCGAGCCTTGCGTGGATAAGCTGTCATATATGCACACATCGGCGGCATATCAGCAAAGCATGCTGGCAACAGCTTATCCACGCACTTCTATCAAGTGCACGTCACTTCCGGTGACACACCCTCCCCAACTTTCGGATATCTGTACTTTAGCATGAAGTGATCGAAAGAAGCGTCCGAAACGAATCGTTTTTTTTTCGATATTGATCAATTTCCAGTTGATTTGCATGCCATCAATAACCACCTACACAGCAAATAAGCGCTACGGCTCAGCGAAACGGTAGGAGCCTATTACACCCTCATAAAATCGACGTGAATCATATGCAGAAACATTTGCATGGCGCCGCCAAACGCATGAAGCAGATACTGATCAAAATATGCATGTGAAGTCCAACCACTATGGAACAGAGTTCAGCTGGAAACCGAAACTGGTGCATCTGATGTTGACGGGCTAAGAAGCCAGAACGAGAGAAAAGAGAGGCTCGCAAATTATTCTTCAGGCACGAAATGCATAGAGAAAAAGCTCACCTAATGATGAATTACAACCGCGTGCTGGTGGTGATGTGAAAAAATAAGGGCAACACGTGGATTTACAATAGTAATCAATACAATAAAAAGGAGTTGATCCACTAACGGTTCGTCGATCCAAAATAACAACCCTTCCGTCCATCGGGTGGTTGGTGACGTCAGGGATGATAAAAATACTGGATTTTACATGACCGTCCAAAGCAAGTCATTGTATAGAATATTCGCATTCAAACAGCGCCACGATTGGGAAGTACAGTAGAGTGCATGGCGCACTCCAATAATGGACTAACCAGGGAAGGCATTCAACTTCCCATGGAACTTTGAATTGAGACCCAGATATATCGATAGAGCTTCAAACGCTGATTACAAATATGGAAACTAAAACTGCAAAATGAACCTGCCAAGGAAGTTGTGAGCAGTCAAAGTTGGCTGGAAGTAAAGCATTACATATGAACCGTGCTAGCTTCCGGGCTTTCAGAGTCGCCGTGGAGTAGTGGTAGTGCTCTCGCTCTCCAGCCGGGAGGTCGTGCATTCTCTTTCCGTTGGAGTGCAACTTTCGAGAGCACTACCACTACTCCATGGCGACTTTGAATGCCCGGACGGTACCACGATTCATATGAAACGCTTTATTTCCAGCCAACTTTGCTGCTCACAACTTACAAAGAGTTCATTTTGCAGCTTTAGTTTTCATATTTGTAGTCAATGTTCGAATACTATATCGAAATATATGGGTCTCGATTCAGAGTTTCATGGGAAGCTGACGCCTGTTTTTGGTAAGGGCATGATGGCTGGCTGAACTTAGCCGTGGAAGTTATGTTATGTTAGTTGTTTTGACAAAAGAAAGTTAGAAGGATTGAACTTCCAAAATAATGGCGATAACTTTTAATAACACCCCGCTGTTTGGAAAGGATGTACTGAAGGAACATTGTTCATCCACAGTACGAGCTTTTACCGCCCACCTCAGAGCTTATCTACTTTTTTGCCATCGCAGCTTCTCGGATTCAAAGACAGCCATGGAGGCTGCTTTTGACTTTTAAATTCGCATTAATACATGGATGTATTCTTTGTTGTATAAAGCTGCTGCTGAATGCGGATCTTGTATGTAGGCTAGGTGTCTGTGTGTTTGTGTGTTGTAGGCAGAAGCGACTTTGTGCCTTTTCGCAGCGCAAAACTTTTTTAGCTGCGGGAAGCCTGGGTCGACAACTGATCAAGCGCGGACCTGGAGTTCCCAAAAGTTCCGCGCTGCGAAAAGCGGAAAGTCGTTTTCTGTTTAGTGAATCACACCCGTAGGCCTAGCGCGTGCCAACACGGGTATTTCGCTTCTTGTTTGAGCTTGATTTTGAGCAGACATTCATTTCGCGGTAAAAACTGCAAGTGGGTTGATCGATAAGAAGTAGAATTGGGGCAGTTCGGCGGTGAGATGTGCCCCAAAATCCCACATAGACAAAGATGGAGAGCGTTTCTTCCGAACAAAGCAAACCAAACGTGGAAACGCAAAAGTTCACAAACTTGACAATAAGGAACTTATCAAGTTATCGCGGAAGCTCGACGCTTAGTGAATGACACCCACACGATTATTCTCCTCAGGAGACCCTCGCAAGGAAAGCCATCTGTCTGAATGAGTGTCATTCAGAAAATTTACAGTACCCTGTTGACCGTAAGGTGTCGGTGCTGTGTGTTGTGATTCACTTGACCTCTCCAGATCAAGGAGGCCCAGATATCCATGACGGGCGAAATCATCCGGAACAAAATTTAACGTTTTTCACTCGCATTCCGTTGCTGAGCGTTTGATCTGGTGTCAAGAAAGCGGAAATAACCTCGTTTCCTTTGGCGAAACTAGCAGCCCGAACTAGCCCAGGAGAACGGTGAACTGCGAATGGAATCCCTGCGCTCCACTCGATGTTCGGCACCCAAAAGAGAGCGCAACACGTCCTCAAAATCCAGGATATTCCTAGTCGCCGTTTTAATCTTAATGATTGACTACCAGTCGAAGTATGACAAACGCCAACTTCGACACTAAAATGAATCACCAGTAATATGATGCTATTGGAACAGATGTGAATCTGGACAAGCTTTGTACCGAGAACAGCATAGACGCACTTAGATAATCATTATTAGGATCCAAATGGAAAGAAAACACCGAAAATGGGAACAAAATAAATGACAGCCAACGTGATCAGTTTAGATCGCGACGCAACCGCAACGCTACTTCGCTGGAGCGCGTTTGTTGGACACTAATCCATTGTCGTGTCGTTGATTGCATTCGCTGTTGCAGCGAGGCCCTTCCTCCTGTTTTTATTCTTTTCTGCTATTGATCTGCTTACAACAAGAATGGTCATGCATATTATTCATAACGGTGCTGTTTGGTGAAAATCTGTTTCGCTTTCGTTCCTTGACATCCATTTCTTGCTTATTTTTTTAAGTGCCACTTCAATTGTTACCGTGGATTTCATAGGTTATTCTTGCAAAGAACCTTGTATAACTCCATCTTCTCTGTGTCATTACTAGGTAAAACGGCATGCCGGTGGACGCACTCGTGGAGTCGGTCACCACCTATCGAAGCCGACCTCTTTGGGCTCATTTGTATGCGGCTCCATTTGGAGGTAAGCGTACTGATTGGGCAAATGTTTTACAAAAAAAAAACAGTAAAAATTGCGGTCAGGATTTGTTTGGGGACTGGCAGATTATTGTGTCGTATGAAGTTGGTTTTTTTGGTTCTGAAATATTTGGGCAGCAATTGCTCGGGGGAGGGGTGCAGCCCACCGCAGCGGGTTGCGGCCAAAGAATTCGTGAGCCAGGGGAAATGGGGCCGAATTCAGGTTCTTGGAGAATGTGATGGCAGTACTTAGGCTATGCGGTGGGGTGAGAAGCGGAATGTCGTGAGAAGCTGAGAATGTGTCGAACTGACACTTACATTGCTGAGCTGCAGCGCGGCGACTGTCCCCCCCCCTGAGCTCACGATTTGCGCCCAATTTGTGTTTTTCTTCGACAGGTTTTGCAATTGCCACGTAAGCCAGGGGTATGAATGGAGTGTGGTTCACTAGGACAGAAAGCCGACGTGTATCGCATGCCGCGAAACATTTTTTCGCTTCAGAACTCAGAGTCACCGGTTGACCATGAGTGGGAACTGAAGAAAAATGTTCGCACGAGCGAAATGACGAAAAAGTCCTTTCTGTCTTTAGTGAAACCACACTGGCGGTTCTATTCAATTAGGGGGGCATCTTGAGGCGGTGTTTCAGAACGCGTAGGGTAACTCTGAGCAGGGAGAGATATAGCAATCTGGGTTTGGGGTTGAGGCAGTCAATTTATTTACAAATCAATTCTTCAGCGACAATCATTCGTGCTAGTGAAAGCCCTGGAAATTGTCAGGTTACCTAGTTTTCGCCGAGAGAGCTGTACATGATGGCCTACTTGGTATAGACCACCATGGTATACGTGCATGGGGAGAGTTCTTCATGTTGAAGAAGTGGGACTGGCAAGGTGCTACTTCCGGGTCGCACTTATTTTGAGTTTTGAACCCCGTCGAATCCTTTCTTGGCCAACCATGCCTCTATTTATCGGGGTTACTCAGGGTGTTAGGCATTGTTCATAGTTTTGACGAACCAGCCGAGAATATCTCTGCGAAAAGAAAAAGATACGTATCGACCAGGTGAATCCGCGCACGCGCGAACGCGGATGCGAAAAGGTTTAGATACGTATCGACGTAGTAAACCACGCCCTATTAGCGTTGCTAGAGGATTTTCGCACCGCCGTTTCGATGCTGCGATCTCCGATTGACTGATCGATAGACACTAATTCCTTTCAAGAGGATTCGCAGATTCCAATGCGCGATTCGAAGCCCCTCCCATTTTGTGGATCGATACGCACTTCATTCATTTCGCATTTGCGCAGGTTCGTTCGGTTCGAGGTCTCTTCGTCGTTGGCGCGCGAAATATGACATGTCGTTAGATCCGCCTGTGAGGATACAACCACTGAATTTTGCACCGAGTGCCCCTGCAAGCTTTTCTATAGTCTTAATCGGATGTGGTTCGCAGGAGAAAAAGCAACTTTTCCCTCTTTTGCAGCGCGAAGCTTTCTTCGCTGCGAGAACCCCAGGTCCACTCCAGATCAGTTCTGGACTTGGGGTTGCCGCAGCGAAAAAAGCTTTGCGCTGCGGAAAGCGGAAAGTTGCTCTTCTGTTCTACCGAACCACACTCGTTTTAGACCAGTATCAGGCTTTGCAAATCGAGCCCTCGCTACCAGCCATTCGCTAGCGTCCGTGGTCGCGTCGTTGCCAGCGAATCGCTCGATTTGCAAGGTCTGACATCGGAAGTAAGCAAACCAGCCCTTTTGGCGTTTCTGCTGGGGCCGTATGCTGAATGTTGGGGAGGGGATGGGGTCCCCGACGGTCGACGGACTACTTCAACTCGGTCCTTAAAACCGCCACAATTTGGTGCTTACCTCAGAACTAAGCCTTAAAGAGAGGACGGGTCCGTCCTCTCTCTCAAGGCTTAGTCCTGGGGTGAGCAAACCAGCCCTTTTGGCGGAGCTGCTGGACCAGCTGCACCACTGCGTCAGTACTCTCCTATCGTACCGAACCGAGTTGAAGTAGTCCGTCGACCTCGGGGACCCCATCCCCTCCCCAACATTCAGCATACGGGCCCAGCAGAAACGCCAAAAGGGCTGGTTTGCTTACCTCCTGACATCGGCCTAACCCGTGAAAATTAAGAACTCGAATTATATCTGTACAACTGTTATAACCCCAAAATCTCAATTTTTTTCGCCGAAACTTTGTAGTGGTAATTCGATGCCCTAATTACGAAAATGGCATTTGTTTCTAGCGGTGCGTCACCTTGTCGCAACACTTGTTTTTGTTCGCAAAATTCGCTTGCAACTTCTGTATAGGTGTTATCTGGTCTCATCATTACGAAAATGACATTCGTTTTTGGCACTAACAATGCGTACATCTCCTGAGTTCTCTCACCTATCAATGATGCCTGAGGCTAACTCAGGAGATAAGGGACTCCGGTGTGGGTAAACCAGGCACCGTGTGGCAAAAGTTGAAGCGTGTGAGACCACAGGGTGAGTGGCTTACTCACCTTGGAGCCCTCCACTACCCAAAGGCTTAGTCCTGATCGCGATTTAATCAGGAAGAGGGCGCAGACGAGCGGAAAGTAAGACCGACGTCACACTCCGCGACGGACAAGCGATCGCAATAGCTCCATCGCTTGTCCGTCGCCGAGTGTGATGTCGGTCTAAGCGCCAGCGCCATGAATGAATGTCATATTCGTAATCAGGACACCAAATAACCCCTATACGAAGTTTACACCGAATTTGGTGAAAACAGGTGTCGTGACAAGGTGACGCCAACTGGCGCCACCGCTAAAATGAATGTCATTTCGTAATCAGGGCATAATTACCTCTATGGGTAACATTTACGGAAACAAAATTTTGAGATTTGGGGGGGGGGACCACGCGGCGGCGCGGCGCTCTGTTCGTCTGCTCCTCCAAGGCTTAGTCCCGATGGCGCGTATTTCGAAACTGCCACGTGGATGGCGAAATAGTAACTGCCCCTTGGACTAAGCCTTGGAGGAGCAGACGAACAGAGCGCCGCGCCGCCGCGTGGTCCCCCCCCCCTCCCTCAACTAACAATAAGATAGCACTTTGTGGCTTGTAACAATACGCACAGTCCTATTAGCGCATTCACCCGATCGCCTATTCACCAAATCGCCGAATCCCCTTTAGTCGCGAGCTAGGGGCGGATGCCATACATATAAACCTTGACATTGTTTTCCATATCACGGCAGTGAAAAGCAAGTTGCGTGTTGAAATTGGTAGCACTGTATAAAAATGATTGATGTGCTTTGGAACTAGCGTCCTGACCTGTTGTTTTAAGTGCTCTACGCAAGTTGGTTCTACGTGTGGCTGACGCTATACGGTGCTGATGAGTACTACGAGCTCGGTTTCATTGGCGCAGCAATCATCTGCCTCATACAAGCGCTGATTATTCTGTTTTGCCATTGGTTCGTTAGTGTCAAGTGTGCACTTAGCTGCATAAAGGTGAGTTTTTATCATCTTGTGTTCATCGTTCTTTGAGCTAGAACCATAAATTAGTGTGTAACAATTAATGCATGCGTGTAACGCGG